GCAGCAGGAGCCAATCCCTTTCCCCATTTGTGAAGAGCAATACATATTCATAAGTGTCTAAAAATAAGATACAAAGAAAGACATTAAACATTAAATTTGCTTATTATAAAAATTACAAATAAAAAAACAAATGAAAAAGAAAATTGCATACTTTTTTTTTGTGCGATAGCATTTTTGATTGTTTGTATGTGTAGGTGTGTGTTAGTGTGTGTGTGTGTGTATCTGTGTATGGGAAAGTATGGACTTGTATGTTTATATGAAGTTACAAAGGAATTCGTAAGACCACACAATCTGATCATTAAATGAAAGTAGAGTTTTATATTTTAGATATTATTTCTATTAATGAAATTAAATACCACCAAAAGTTAGATACAGACACATTTTTAAGTTTAGACAAGAAGCAACGTGTTGGAAAAGGAAGTGTGTTAATATGAAAGTGTTGTCATGTTACAAAACTCTTAAATTACTAAGATTGCACAGACTATAAAAAATTTACATGTTCAATATGTATTGAACAGTAGAGGAAGGCTGGATAACGTAAGGATGGACTGTGTGAAAGAGGATATGCTTAAGGAGTGAATTCAGATACGACTGATAGAGATGTAAGTGTTAGCTTTTTAACTATTTTTGATGTATTCTGCATTCTTAAAAGTTATTTGGTAATCTGTGCTATTTATCAATACATTCATCTTTACTTAAAACAACAATATTGTTAGGCAAATATTAGGAAACGGAAGGACTAGTGTGGGGGTAGTTTTATAAAATATATGGCAAGGAGTGCCTAGGGCTCAGTTGCAGTCTCGCTCAGTCGCCAACAAGTTCTGTGTTTTCCTAGTTGTCAGCACGGAACGTTCGATATCTTTCGAGTTCAGTTTGTGTGTTTTAAAATAATTTACAAGTAATTAATTAATAATTAATAAGTTAATATGGCCGTCCACAATAAGTCATTTGTGGAAATATCTAACATAACAAGGTGTGCTTACAATACCTATATTTTGTAGACAGGTGATAGTTAAGACTTTTTACTGACATTAAACAAATTTAACGACAAACTTTCCCAGTTATAATAATGATAATTTGTTATTTTATCTGCGTCATACTCTATTCTTTACACTTATACATTGTTTCCTTTATTTAATAATTTATTACAGAGTAGAACATGACCGTGACTCGTATTGCTTTTTGTTCTCATATTGTTCACGTATTTTGTTTACAGGTACGATTAAAATAAATGGCAGTACATAAATCATGATGGTCATGACCGTTTCCTATGCTAAAAAAAACGCGCAACGCAATAAAAAGAATAAAACATCACTTTGGAGGGTTTTAGAATAAAGCCTCAATCTATACTAATGTAATATTATAAAGGGTTAAGACTTCATTGTTTGTTTGTATTGTATAGCAACTATTAACTCGATTTTAAAAATCGTTTCGATATTATGAATAGGGCATTAACAGGAAGGATATGATAGAAAATTTGAGACGTATATTCTTTGCCACTCGGGCGAAGTTGGGGCGCATCCCTAGTAATTTATAAAAACAATAATTCTAATTGTATGTGTTCTAGGTTGTTGCGTCGATTGAAGTTATTTGTAGACGAAAATTAGAATTTAAAGCGTTAGAAGAAGTAAGCTATATAACAAACGTAACATTTATTAACATTTATTAAATTACTATTAATAATTCCGAATAATATGATGTAGATACAGTATGTTGTTTAATATTCAATGGAGCTAGATAAAGCGCCAGGTGCGGCGGTGCCGGCGTTTTTAATAAAGTACACAAACACATGCGGCCCCAACGTTGCCGGCACGATCGTGTTGCGAGGCCTTTACTTAAATTTAATTGAATTTTTATTCAACGCAAATTGAATCTCTGTGTTGCCAATTAATGCGTTGATATTAGATAAAAAGATAGCCTTGCGTTAAAAGGTAAAAAAGGTATTAAAGAGAGTTTTTAATGGTCACAATAACTGTGTGTTAAACAAATGTGACGTTTTGGTCGATTATTTTCATTTTTTATTTATATGTTATTGCTTTTGATGACACCAAACACATTATTACGGGACACCCTGTACAGGAAGGGGAAATGAAATGTAAAGATTAGAAAACATTTAAAAGAGTGGATAAGAGAGAAGCGCTGTTAAGTGTTTTTGTAATAATTCATGTGTGTATTAATTACATAGGTTTATGTACTTATTATACATAGAGTTGAGACTTATTCAGGCTGTATTCAAGCTTTCAGCTTAAACCTTGCACACAATAGTTTCGTAATTCTATTGTTTAAGTGATGTTAGGC